CTAACTTCAAGACGACGATGTGCTTATCCTAAGACATATCTAAATGATATCAGAAGCGCTGGTGCCAGGAAAACAACTAGAATATATTGAATTTACAGAGCTTATATAACTTAATCCAATAGTTTTTGTAAAAATATTAATTTCTTTTATGAATTAAATCAATTAAGTAGACACTGTGCCGTATCACTGTATATGTGTGCATTTAACCGTACAAATAGAAAAGAGACAGTGATAAATGAAAATACATTTATTAATTGATGAATGAAACATGTAGCAGGTTAAAACGTTCATAAGCGTGACTACGGCGCGGATGCAGACGGGCACTACCTCCAACCTTTCTACAGAGAGAGAGAGAGAGGGGGGGGGGGGTCTGTTACATCTGGGGACGAACAACCACAAGAAGTGGCATTTTGAAAATAAATCTTATTACTAATCTCAATTGTTCTTTAAATGTGAATTATAAATATATCATAATGTTATAATGTTAATTTTATTGTTATTCAAAAAGGGAATGCTTCAATTTTTTTTTTTTCAAATTGACTTATCCATTAATATAAATATTTTTTTAAAAAATTACATATAGATTTTCTTTTCTGTTTTTTTTTTTTTATTTTATTTCTCTATTATATCTAATTACAGCTCAAAACATGAAAACGGGATAAGAATGGACAAACCTGATAAAAAATTTGAAATGAAAATCGAGGAATAGCGATTATTTATAAAATTTCTGAAACATTTTATTATTACCAATACATATCAACCGCGGATACAGGCATTTTCCGGAGGGGGAAGGAGGGTACAGAGCCGCGCACTCAAAAAAAAAAGAAGACTCAGACATTATTGTCAAGCAAGGATAAAAAACCATAAACTTATCCATACCTTATATAGCTATTTCGTTTTGGAGGGGGAAGGGGTGTTAAATCGCTTTGCCTTTATAGATATACAGAAGATGTATAAATATATGTGACTTTCTATGCCATTGTAACAGGGGTCCGTGTTTTCTAGAGGAATTGGGTTTACTATTAATATCATTTCAACAACTCTAAAAATCCCAAGGGGACCGGATCCCATGACCACGCCCCCCCCCCCTCCCGAATTACGACATCTTAACTAAAGATATTCCTAAGATGCTTTTGTTTTACATCCAAAGACGTATCTTAAGATAGTCCTAAGATATGTACAAAGTATGCTGCTGGTTCTGAGTTGGTTGGGGAAAAGCCGCATATGATTTGGTGATAGAAAGCGAATTCGTGTCGGACGTGTGAGAAAAATTGATTGAAAATTCTAGCTTGCAGTTAATTTTCAATCCAAATTTGTTTTTCTCATACGCTTGATGCAGAAGACAAATAATAATTTCAATTTCCGAATAGTTTGAATTTAATTCAGATTAGAAACTTCTATCCAATCTATTCTTTTAAAGAAATCATCAATATCTTTTAGGGCACGACAATTTTCATTCTATTGGGGGGGGGGGGTAATTAAGAGGGGGACGTTGGCAGATTTTGGAAATAAAGAATCTGTTCTTGAAAATACATGTATAAAAAAATCTCTCCTCCAGTGACCGAAATCAGTGGTATTAAGCCGATATCCGTGCCAGTAGGTACGCATACATGTATCCTCAGATGTCGAAAAGCTCCACAGCTTCGAGAGTTTACATCTATAGATATACTTATATATCCCTTCAATCTGTTAGTGAATTAAAATGATTTGAAGATATATACATAATTATAGTCTTTAAACCTATAAAGCAGAGAGAAATTTGCAACATATACCTTTATACAATACATTAAATCAAAGGAAATGATTCAAACGATCAAAATCTGAATAATCACCAAAGAAAACCCAACATTTCAAGAAAAAGAACATGGGTCACAATGTAATTAAATATTGGGACTTTATCAAAGATTTAAGCATACACTTCGATATTGTGATAGGCGAAATAATGTACAGTCGAATCTCCAAATATGTTACGGCTCCTCGAATATATCTGTTTTTGCATCTCTTCGTAGCATACAAAAATGTATATAAGTATTATTTTTGCCTCATTTCTAAACTGTTTTTACAATGTATGGATTATTTCCGTACTGTATAAGGTGGAGACCGGTCCTTAGGATAAGACCGTATAAACCGAAGTCTCTTATCGCAGTAGATGCTGGCACGAAAAAGATCTCTCTCTGCTCAAAAGCCGCAAGTGTCGAGTACAGGTCTAAATTTGCAGCCCCCCACCAATAAGTGTTGGCGTCTCAATATGATTGAAACATTCTCGAAGGGACGTTAAACAACTAAGCAAACAAACAAACAAACATTTTTATACATTGTATTTACCGGTACATGTAAAAGTATATGTATTCTTTCTCTACATAAGATTTGGATTTGGATTCATCTGTCTTTTGCAGATACACCTGTATGCATGGTATTATTTAATCTGAGACCCACCCCCACCCCCCCACCCCCCCCAAACACCCACTTTCCACACTTTTCTGTGGTAGCGTTGAACCGCTTGCACCGTATTGTACAGAATATATTTCGTGCAGAAAAGAAAATGAGACCTCCTTTCTCAGTTTTAAGAATTTAAGTTTTGTAAAATAGTCAACAGCCTATTTCCCTTTATTGCTTGTAAACATTTTGCTTTTTTAACATTTAAAAAAAATCCTGAATGTTTTCCTGTGGCTCAACCCCTCCCCACCTTAAAAAACATTGTTACAGACTTGAAACTACAAACTTTACTTTTCACGATTGAAAAGCTTCATTGTCGACGGATTTTTCCGTATTTCACGATCATGACAAGGAGCACACGGCGGGTATGACCGGTCGGCAGGGGATGCTCGCTCCTCCATGGCATCTGATCTCACCTCTGACATTTTAGAGGTCCGTGTTTGCTCTGCTCCCGATTTGTATTGTTTAACGGACATTTGAGCTTGAATACCGTTCGTTATCTACATATATTTCATTCATTGAAAGGGCAGCTCCCCCTTTTTTGTTGCAGTACAGTCAATTCAGGGTAATGTATTAATAAAATTTGGTACCGAAAGATGGAACACCTACCCTCACCCCTTACACCTCCCACGAAATAGGATTTTCGAGTATGTTGAATTTTTTTCTCTTGCTGCCCCAACCCCCCTTTTTTTTCAAAAACGATGCTACGTTCCTGTGAAATATTTGACAGATACATTTATGCGCAAATTGTTAAAATGCAAAGAATTAGAAAAAAAATAAAACTAGCAGGTACCGATATCTTTTAAACATGGTTTTTATGTCCAAAACATCAAGGTACGCTTATCACCTTCATACGAGATATATAATTTATTTGGCGGTTTTATTCAACTCTGCTTGTCGCTAGCTATTTGTTAAGACTCAATATATCTACAATTCACTTTGATTCATTTAATGAAATATGACAAAAATAACAAAATCAAACTGTGTAAACACATGAACCTGTCAAGCTCGACGTCGTCTTGGGATATGCGTACCTACTGGTACAGATATCGGCTTAATACCAGTGAATATTAAAAAAAAAAAAAATAATCCGACAATGACTGGTGCGCCTCTCGCATGAAATGCATCTTTGCTAACCAAAAACTTTTACACATGTAGTTGTTGGAAAGCTTTTTCTTACAAATATTTTTGATATAAACAACAAATTTAAGCATTTGCTGTCAATGAATACATAATATGAATGTGTAATAAAATATCTAAAGAAAACCTGGATAGACAATTAAATTTTTTAAGTAAAAAATTTATTTATAAAAATAAAAAACATTATTTGTGAATATTTTTTAAGCCTATGGATACAATCTTCATAAAACTACTCAGAACTATGAAGAACATGTGAGTCAAACATATTTTAAAAAGAAATTGAAATGAAATTGCAAAATTTTAGGAAAACTATTTTTTTCAATATTTAGACCAATCCCGATCAAAATTAACACAAAATAAATAAGATGAAGTTATTGCCTTCTTTAAGTATTTACCACTAAGAAATTTATTTATTTATCAAGTTCAATTACTTTTTAACGCGTATTACACCTTAACAAACTTGTATTTCTTCTGAAAATGTTATCTTTTATCAATTATTATAAAATTCTGGTTGGGATCAGTTTAATTTCGATCGGGATCGGCTAAAATTTGTAAAAAATAATTTCTCTAAAATTTCACAATTTCGTTTCAATTTCTTTTTCAAATATGATTGTCTAACATATCCTTTGTAGCTGTGACTTGTTTTTGGAATATATTATCCATATGTTTTGAAAATATTCACAAATAATGTACTTTTTTGAAAAAAAATTTTTAGTAAAAAAATTAAAATGTCTATCTGGCTTTTCTTCACATATTTTACGAGATATTTATATTATGCATTTATTAACATCAAATTTTTAACTATAAAGCATCTTATTTGCAAATAAAACATTTTTTTTTCATTTTCTATGAAAAATTGGAGAAAATTCTTATAAAATAATTAAGAGCTATTCCTTTCAATGCTGAAACCATGACTTAAGGAAGCTCTAAACACTGCACACTAAAGAGTTCTGTTTGTAGGGTAGTTTTATTGGGTGATTTGCCCTTAGAAGAAAAATAGTATAAATGGGAATCTACAGTTAATGACACAATTTCTTATGAATTAAAGTATTCTTAATGTTATGTTAGATCAAGATTAAGTAATTGAATACATTATTTCCATTAATTTTCCTGATGCAAGTAAAAAATAGTGATTTCCGTTCACAAATAGTTCATTGTCTTTGAACATTTTTTCTGCAGAAATAAGGCAGGTACCTTATGTTGAAAATGAACTTGATACACTGAATATGTACCTTCATATGATATATTTTTCTCAAAGCCCAAAAAGCATTTTTCATTAGTGTTTAGAGCTTCCTTAACATGGATGTCTTAAGACCAATGGAATTAAATTTTGGTGTGGCATTCCTCCTTAAGGAAGTAATTATGGGTCCAGTTTTTAATGAATAGAAAGCCTCATTTGCGGTTTGTATAAACAAGAGCATAAATTATTGATATAAAATTTTATTCAGAAGAGAAATCACAAATAAATACCTCACCTTTAATATCATCAATGTTCATTTTTGCATACTTAAACATACATCAATAAAAAGAATTGTTATTACTTTAAAAATATGTAACTATATAAATCAATACTAAAAAAGTCTAACATTTCCAATGTTTTACTGAGCGTTCATAAAAAAAAATGATGTTTGACTGCAGAGTGAGATATTGGACCTCTTATGTCACAATGTTGGCAGGATCAGCTAAATCTTATTTTCATCTGTTGGTGTTTGACAGTAACAGAATTGACCAAGTTTAACGCAGTGCAGGTAAAGGAAATTAACATCATAGAAGCCTGCACGAGTACAGTCATAACTGAGGTACAATGTGTAGTAGGCCTCTCGGAGTAAATAGAGAACAAGTATCAGCTGTCAACATGCAGTAGACCTGAAACAAAGTGAGAAAAATTATTACATCACTTATGTCAGCTAAAGGAGCTGTGAGCGAGCTAACAAAATAATAAGGTTATAACCCTGCTGCAATTCTTTTATTTAGAATGTGTAAATGTGACCTTGAACTTACCAAAACGACTTTGGTAAAAAAAAAGGACAGATCTTTGGACATGATTAATCTAAGAGTGAAATATGGACATCAAATTTTTCTCCATTAATACAAAATAATAGACTTACATTTTTTCTGCCAGAGATCTTGAACTTGTCATAATGACCCTCAGGTCCGAAAAAAATTTTTGTAGCAAATTAAAGCTCAGTTACAAAGTTATTGACTGGACAAGAATGTTATCTCTTATCTGCCAGTGACCTTGAACTTGCCAGAATGACCTTGGTCAAGGTCAAGACAAACTTCCAGGTCATAAACAATCTTTGTAGCAAGTAAGAGCTTCCAATGATTCTCCATTACAAAGTTACAGCCTACACAAGTGTTTTATACCTTTTAAGCCAGTGACCTTGAACTTGCCAGAATTGCCATGGGCCAAGGTCATGACACACTCTCAGGTCTTCAATAATCTTTGTACCAAGAATGAGCATCAATGATTCTCCACTGCAAACTGATATCCTGGACAAGAAGTTTATATCATTTCTGTCAGTGACCTTGAATTTTGACAGACTGTTTGATGGGATCCCGCCAATCAAGTCGGGTTCATCAGGACATTTGAGCAATATAAGGCTTAAAGATTCAACAAACTTTCATAAAATAATTATCGTTTATATTAATAAATTAGTTTAAAACTATACTAAACATAACTATTTACATCATTTTGAAACATTGTACTGAAAAAAGTAGTTTGGCCCTTGACTTAATTGTTAATAACAGCTGTGGCTAAAAATAGTGATTGGGTCATGTGGGGATTTTTTTCTTTACAGAGCAATGACTGTTTACAATCTAACATATAAGAAAGGATAAGATAGGCTAAGATCCCTTTTTGGCCCCTGGTTTGGGGTGTCTTTTAGAATGTTGCAACAGTTTTTCAGTTAAAAACCTGTTGTCATCCCTGCCATAAATTGAGTATTGTTTCTAAGTTATGGGATACACAGAGGCCACAGGAAGGTCAGGAAATATGTCAGTTTCCGAATTTTCTCATTTTATGCAAATTTTCATTGGTTTTACAGCACATTTTGGTTCAGAAAACATAGAGCACAAGCTTGCCTATCTACCAAATTTGTATGTCCATACAATAGTATCAGATGCATCTTATGTATAAAAATCTCAGATAGGCAGCCTTGTGCTCTATATTTCCCAAAGTGAAAAGTATCTCAAATTTGACGAAATGCGACCAGAATTGAGGCAATTCTGGAAAATAACCTACTTCTACACCCTCTTGTGGCCTCCGTGTAAGCTTTGAATCAAAATTAGTGCTGGTTTTAAAACAAGCATTATTTTTAATTCTTACCTACAAACTATCACAATTTTAACTGTGGGTTCTGATTTTTACATCAAATAAGGGGCCAGATTCGGTCGTTACCATACCTTGTCCTTTCTTTAAAAGTTTTCAGATTATTTATTTGAAGGACTGAAATGGGGGTTCAACAGTTATTTTATCAATACGAACAATTGGTCTTTTACACGACTAGACCACTCATTTACTAGACTGGGTCAAACATGCCTTAGTGTCAAACCCTGTTGAACTAGCCGGAATGACCTTGGGTCAAGATCTTGACACACCAACAGGTCATAAACATTCTTTGTACCAAGTTTGAGCTTCCAACGACCAACAAGTTGGCACCGATAGACTGACAAGGTGATTCTTATATATTCCCCCAACCTTTATTGTGGGGGTAGAAGACCAGCATGATGAATATATGACAGAACATTCAGGATCTAAATGAAAAATGGGAACTCCTGATACACGTATCAGAGTGGAAGGAGATGCTCAATATAAAAATGCCACCTTCAGTGCCATTGGGAAAACCCAATTCTAAGCTGCTACCCAAGTGACATATACTGTGTTCTTAGAGGAAGAATATTGTAGCAGTGTTCTATGGAAATAAATTTTGTAAGAAAGGTGAAAGCTGAGAAATAAAGGAAAGGAAGTTACCTGCCCAGCCATGAGGACTGCACTGTCACCATTCCTCCAAAGACAATGATTGTGGATGAGAAGAGATGGGCTGCAGAAAGTGAAAGTGAGCTGCAAAGTGATGACCATCCACTAGTCATCTTCTATTTCACCAGTGGTGGTTAAGGTGCCACTCTATACAGATTATCTGAAAAACAAGGAAATTTCATTGAAAACCTAAAAGACTTGCTGCAATTCTTTGATTCTCAAAGAAAACAGACAGCTATGGCTCAATTAGCAGCCACACATTTCTGAGAAGAATAAAAGAATCCACACAAAGAAAATTTGCCTTTGACCTAAAGCTTCAATGCAAAACAGAGTAAAAAAAAATATCAGTACTATTAGCACTATTCCATGAGATTTACCTTTGATTAAGTGGGCCATGTCTTCTACCATCAATTCAATCATAAGCTGCTACCAGAAACAGTGTGTAAAGTCCTGTCAACTTACCGGTAATTCCTTTTCCTGTCAATGACTGAAAAGCAATGAGTGGAAATTTCAGTGTTGCCTAGTGACTATGAATTAAACATGACAGAAGAAAATGTTTGTTAGAAGATTGTTAACTTGACTTTAAGTCCAAATAATCTTGCTAGCTAAAATTAAAAGAGTGTTCCAAGGAACACATGTGTCGCCTGATGAACAGCATCATTATTTAAGATTAAAAGAAAATCTAAGGGTGGTCAAATATTATTTGATACAAGCATTATGAGGGTTGTTAAGAGATTATTAGTACATAGTGTTTATTTTTCTTTCCAAGTAATGCCTTTTGGTGAAAAATGGCATATATGTTTGACAAACACTAAGAATTAATAAAAGCAACAAATATTTTACAAATATTTTATTTCTTCTTTTCAATGGTATATTAATGGGTAAATAGAAGGGTGCCCGGTGCCATCACGAAATCATATATTGAAATATGTTATACCTATGTTCAAACTCCCAGTGGACCCATATACAGCAAGAGCGAAAATAATTCAAATTATATATCAGTATTTATTTTTTCAATTTCATTTCAATTCATTTTGTGCAAGCTTCTTAGAATTTCAATCAGAAATACAGAGATCATAAAAAAATCTAAGCTTGGTATAGATATCTGATTACATCAATAAAATAGATTTTGACGTCAACGCGACACAGCAAGCATACCTATAGAATTTTACGTAGCTCTGTGGAGAACTCTTTTCCAGACTAAAAGATCTGCTAAAACAATAACAACTAGTGCTAACTGTAACGAGAACTGTTTCAGATGTTCCCCAAACACTTCCCCATTCTCTTATGGGCCCCATTCATTACAGGCTTCATTTAATTATGCAATTCTTTTGTTTAATAAATCTATACTTTATTTTCAGTAGTATTTATTCGAAAAACAACACTGGTATAGTTCTTCGAGTATTAGCCAATTGGATTTCAGCGCATGCTAGGCCTGAGTATCGCAAACTACCTAACAATATGATACATATCATGATACGGTCATGTGATATACAACATGTATCATGATACAGCTGTCACCAATTGAATTAATCTTTATCTTAACATATAATTCTTTGCTAACTCCACAGTTATAGAAAATATACAAATATATCTTGATAACCCTTATCAAAGTTAATAAAAGGTGGATTTATAGTCTTGATATTGTATTTTTTCTTTGCTACCTTTTTTCAGCCATTTTAAAACATTAAAATTTGTTAGGTTGAATGTAGAAGTTACAAACAAAACAATGAAAATTATCTTCTACTGTATCACAATACATACATGGCGATACGCGTATCGTCAGCCCTTGCGATCAATACGATCGATGTATTGCTGTATCGTTACACCTCTAGTGCATGCACATGCCCATATTTTCTAAATATTTCATATTCCTTCCTCGTGAAGAGACTCACAATAAATAGCTATGTAAGAAATCTAAAGATTTTCATTGAAAACTATGAGAGATACAGCCATATAAGTATTAGCAAATCAGAATTCATGTTCTTGCATTCAATTTTCAGAGTAGCACAATGTAGGAACCCATTACACCTATCTATATTGTAAATTCCATCCAGTTTTGTTAAAAACTAAGAAAGTCACTACTGTAACAGCCATTTAAAGTTTAAGCCAATCAAATTGCAGCACACTTGCATGAGCGTGTTTTCACAATATCTCATATATTATATCAAAATGTAGAGCCTTGTTGTGTATGACTATGTTTTAAATTTCAAAGCATTTCATCAAAAAAAAAGAAAAAAAAAAAGGTTATTGAGATTTTTTGTGTCAGTCAAACAGAGCAAAGCACACATGCATGCACATGCTTTCTTGCTAATTCAACCACCTCTTCTTGTCTACACCACTAATATAAGTTTATACAATGAAGTTCAAAGCATATCATAAAAAAAAACAGGAAGGTTAATGGTGTTTCAATTGCTTCAGTCATTTCACTCCATGCACGCGCACGCATGTGCATGTAAGTGTGGGTAAAATGACCTTCCTTCTGCACATCTACACAACATGCCTGTTAACCCTAAAAAGGTTTCATCTCAATCAGTTGAGTAGTTTCTGTGATGACAGAGAAAGAAGCATTAAAGCTTCCAGACTGTCTCAACATGGTAAAGATCTATGGCTGGCATGAGATGAAAATGAAAAAGCAATGATGCTTTAGGTCAATAGACATATGCAAGTTTATAATTCCAATGGGACATGTCTAATTATCCTATCAATTAGAAATTTTGCATAGCTGTTTTATTTGTTCTTGTTAAAATGTTGACAAATTTTCATGAATTTATGTCTTTCTTTTATGGAGTAAAAGTAAATGTCTCATTAATTTCAAAATAGCCCTTATACAGCAAAGAAAAAAAATCCACAAATAGTAAGACCCATACAGAATAGCATTTATCATATAAAATCTGACAATAGATATATGATTCTCCACCCTTCTAAGCTAAAGTGAATTATAAAATTGAAATTAACAAGAAGTCTGTGAGCCAATGTTCACTAGTAATACCCCCGCTTTGATGTGAATATACATTCAGATGTGAATATACACAAGTTCAGTTATGGACAGACACAAGGATGAACAAGAAGTTGACATCGGATTCGTACAAAAATGAATCCCACCATATGACATGCCTAAACAAAGAATGTGCTAAAATTTCAAGCATCTGCAATCAGTAGTTGCTGAGAAAATTGCGACCAAAATTTGTTATGTATGGTACTGACAGACACACAGATAAACAGGAAGTTGACATCAGATTTGTACAAAAATGAATCCCAACATATGACATGCCTAAACAAAGAGTGTGCTAAAATTTCAAGCATCTGCATTCAGTAGTTGCTGAGAAAATTGCGACCAAAATTTGTTATGTATGGTATGGACAGACACACGGATAAACAGGAAGTTGACATCGGATTCATACAAAAATGAATCCCACCATATGGCATACCTCAATAAAGTGTGTGCTAAAATTTCAAGCATCTGCGATGAGTTGTTGCTGAGAAAACTGTGACGAAATATTTGTTATGGACAGAGAGACACACAGACAGACAGACACACAAGGGTAAAACAGTATACCCCCCTCTCCTTTGGAGTGGGGGTATAATAATTAAAATAACTATTTTTAATAAATATATCTTTATCCCAGATATCTTCCAAAAGAGATTTCACTCTCTATTCACTCTATAACGATACTTTTGGTATACCCATCCTGATGTCTTTTCATTGTATTTAAATTTCAGTTTGTGTGGTTATATTGCATACAGTTTCAAAGTACAGTGTCATGAGCTCATATACAGTAACATGTGATATAAATGCTAATTACCGGGTATCAAAATCCTGCCTCTCAAAATCAAAAAACAAAGAAAAAAATAATAATAATTCAATCAACCGCCAGAGTGATTTTATAAAATCAAAGGTCAAGGTCAACTGAATTGTAATGTAACGAACTCACTTGCATTGAACTCTCTTTGTTTGAAAAATTGGTTTGTTTGAAATGAATTGGGTTTCTCCTAAAATGCTGATACGGTTTCTTTGCAATAAATACTCGTTTAGATTGAAATCGGTTAACTTGAAAAACTCTGTTAATTTGAAGTGATTTTGGGGTCCGCTGAACACAAAGCTTATAGCAGTTTTGATAACGGGTACATTGAAGTTGCCGATTGCGACGCGTGGACTCAGGTGACTGACTATATATAAAGTCTAGCACGTGTTAATTTTTCACAGGTGATTTGATGTTGGTGGACCTGTACAAATTTAATTATGTGTTGTATAGATAAAATAATAATAATTGAGCATTTCTCACCGGAACATATTAGTCGCCATTTTTATTTTCTAACTACGGCATTAAGACCGACATGGATAAAATACGCAGGGGTGTCATGTGTACATTGGTGCGTGGAGAATAGGGCTGTGTATTGACCAAAATATTTTGATAAGATATTTTATAAAGCAATATGCAATATATTGGATTCTTAAATAAGTCTAGCAAAAAGGTCTTGTAAATCATTTAATGCATAAATTTGATAAAAACTGGGTGTTTTAATACCATATTGGAAGTTCATATGTCTCACTGTCTTTACAAAGAACACTTCAAATTCAAACTTTTAATGACTCAAAAACTAATACGTTAAAACATAGTTGTATTTTGCATTAAGTTGCATTAAATATAAGTTGTATTTGTAGAATTTTGCAATAGTTAATTAAGATGTGCTATCTCCTTAATGTTTATTTTATTATTGACCAGTTTTAATTAAAAACAGTTAAAAATTATCTTTGGTGACTGAAATTCCCAACTTTTTCACAGAATTATAAGAAAAACTGTCTGCCCAATACGTATTGGAAGTTAGTTTGTCGATATGATAAATTCCTGAATATCGATATGTATTGATTAATCAATATATTGACACAGCCCTAGTGGAGAAAGTGCCGAAGTAAATAAATCCACTGTAATTAAGTAAATGGAAAATAAACTTGAATTGAAGTATATGAAGCATACGTTTTCAATGCTGATGAGACAGGGCTGTTCTACAGATTCGAACCTGACAAATCATTGCATCTATGCGGCAATGTTCAGGACGAACTTTTTTCGTGTATAAATAGTCTTGATAGTTTTCTAACACAGATCAAAAAAAAAAAAAAAAAATAAAACAGTAAAAAAAATTTAGGACTTTTTTGAAAAATAGAGATAAGTACATTTCTGAAACACTGCATGTAATGTTATGTAAAAAATATGAATTCTCACATGTATATTTTTTTTACTGTACAGTCAAGCCTCGTTACCTCTAACTTGAAGGGACCGAGAAAAATCTTCGAGATATCTGAGGATTCGAGATATCGAGGGTAAAATACTTAAAGAATAAGTGGTTGGGACAGCAAATCACTTTGACATATCCATGGTATTCAAGATATCAGTGTTCCAGATAATGAAGTTCAACTGTATCTACATATTTTATGTAATTCATAGCACACAGATATAATGAAATTCGGTTAATTTGAAATAAATCTCAAGGTCCCTTAAATTTCAATGTAAACGAGTTTGACTGTATATGGTATTTTACAAAAGCCAAAGTGCCAAGCAATGCAAGTGCAAAGTATCAAATCCATTCCTCTTAAAGTTCTCAGGATCTAGGGTATGACAGACAGACAGACACCATGTAAAGTGATCTCTAAGTGTCGCTTTTACCAATTTTTTTTTTTTCATAATTATTTTGTTTTCTTACCTCTCTGAAGAGCATGACAAAGGTTACATAGGTGATAGGTAGAAATACATGCATGGGATGTATTGGTGTAATCTTTTTAGTGAGCAGATTGCATCATGCATTGTTTATCTGCCGTTGCTGATCTTTAACAAGGGAGACATCTCCTGAAATAAGAAAAATTATTTTCAAAAGTGAAGTTACCTGTTACTCTTAGAGGGACATAGACACTGATTCGACATTTTGAAATATTTTCTCAAATTGTCTGTATTATATCATGACATATATGTGGCTATAGCATTTCACACGGAAATATAATAAAAAACTTATTTTATCTGTAAATTTTTGAAACTATGAATTTCGGGATGCGTTTGATTGACACATCCTTGCACTTTCACAAGTAAACTTCATCCTTAATACTTAAGAAAAGTAGGTTTTTTGATACATATTAATAAAAAAAAATATAAAAAAATATAATCCAGAAAATTAAGAGTAGAAATGAGAGAAAGCAAAACCAACTAAACAGTATTGTCAGTCCGTGCTCAGTGATGTGTGAAGAGTTTAACAAATTGAACACAAAACAGTTTACGTTCCATCGGGTGTGTTCAATTTGTTAAACTCTGCACACATCACTGAGCACGGACTGACAATACTGATGAGTTGGTTTTGCTTTCTCACATTTCAACTGTGAATTTTCTGGATTTTATCTTTAATTTTTTTCATTAAAACACAACAAAATTTCTACTTTTTTTAAGTATCAAGGATGAAGTTTTACTTTGTGAAAGTGCAAGGATGTGTCAATCAAATGCGTCCCTAAATTCGTAGTTTCAATAATTTCCAGGTAAAATAAGTTTTTTATGATATTTCCCTGTGAAATACTATAGCCACACATATGTCATGATCTAGTCGAAAATTTTAGAAAATATTAACTTCAAATCTGAGTCTATGCCCCTTTAAAGGTCATAAACAAGAAAATAATTCACTATATTTTACTATAAAGCCTTGATTAAATTAATCAATTAATATGACCCTCACTAGATAAAAGATGAAGAAAAAATGATTGATGCTTGGACAAAAATTTGAGACCAGAAATAAAATAATTCCTTATGCAGCTTTTAATAGAGAAAATTGATATTACTGATAGGTAAGATACCTTCAATCATGTGGATTTCACATGCTGATAAACAGTTTACACACCATCCAGGAAGTTGCATCATGAGCACCTAAAAAAAGAGTATTCGTTAAATTCATTGATTGCCCACAAGTATAATATTCCTAATATTTGAGTAAAAAATAAATACTGTAGGCCTAAAATGAGAAACCGAAAAAGAAAACCTGAAAAGAAATTGTCTCTTTCTACAAAGAACAACAACTGACTAAGTTCATTTTGATTTGCTATCCTGGCTCTAAGCTAAGCATGGCATAACAAGGGTCTACTGGAAAGAAAGGGTAAATTATTCATATGGTAAAAAGTTAACAAATCAAACTTTGTAAATAAATACCCAAGCATTTGGTTTTGTCTTTGATTTCGACAAAATGTTATTGATCTCCAAAAATTTTTGTTTATGTGCGCTGACCACAGTAAAATTTTAAATGTTGTAGAACTGTATATCCATATCTAGATTCAGTAAGAAATTTCTAGTCATTTGACAAGTTAATTTCACAGTTTCACAAAAGTTTGATTAACAATGTTATGGTTAATAAAATATTTATTCCAATTGAAGCTTATAATTATATTATTAAAGTGCAATTTGTCAAAGTAAAAAATGCCTGTAAAAAGAACAAGTGGCCATGGGCAACAATGCTCACCCGAGTCACTATGGCCTTGCTGTTCTACTTTTTTTTTTACTACACATGATGATGTATATTCATTCATATGTAAAAATTTGATTGTCCATTGTGGCCCCACCCTACCCTGGGGGGGGGGGGGGGGGGTCATGATTTAAACAAACCTGAATGTACACTAAGTAATGAAGCTTTCAGAGAATTTTCACTTTCTGGCCCACAGTAATGAAGCTTTCACAGAAATTTCATTTTCTGGTCCACTGATTCTTGAGAAGTGTTTTTAAAGATGCCATTAAATTTACAACAATTCTTAATTATTTCCCCTTGAAAGAGGGTGTAGCCCTTCATATGAAAAAACTTGAATTTCCTTTACCCAAGGACACTCTGTGGCAAGTTTGGTTAATATTGGCAAAGTGGTTCTGGAGAAAAAGATGAAAATGTGAAAAGTTTATGTCGCCGCCTCCAACAACAACAGTGACAGACAACAGACAAATTTTGATCAGAAAACCTCTCTTAAGCCTTTGGCTCAGGTGCGCTAAAATAAAAAATGGAAAAATAAAATTTATTGTTAATGACAGTTTTACTTATGTATTTTAAAACTCTTTCTCAAATACCATGGATATGTCTAAGTGCTCAAGTTCAGTGAGTTTATGAACTTTACCCGCTATTCTTGAAACCTCTATTATCTGTTTCTCAAAGGGTTTTTTTTTCAGTCCCATCTATTGCCATAATAGGCTTATCTCCAGGGGGTCCTCATGACTAGCAATTACATACATGTAAGCAATAATGTTTTTGGATATATTAATATATTGAAATAAATAAAACTGAATAATTAAATGACAAGATATGCATTCGACATTGGGTGACACAATTGGGGAAAATATTCTGGCATGTTACCCTCGAAGTAAGTGATTGTGAAATTTACTTGTCTGAACATAACTTTTACTTGTATGAAAATATTTCATAAAAGACCTACCGGTATTTAACAATTTGAAAAAATATTGTACATTACAGTAGTCTATAATACATTCATTGAGTCTGTTTTAGAGATTTTTAGTGGACACATCTATTGCAAATTACTTAACTGTATCATCCTATCCTAAAGTAGATGTAAATCATGTTATATAATTACATGTATGAAAGAAAAATAGTAACAACAAGAAATAGCTGACTATATGACTTCAAATTTTTCTTTGCCTTCTTTTGCTTATCCTTTGTAGCCTAAATTGTCTTTTGCTAAAGTTCTCCTGCCAGATAATAAAAACCCAAATTTCCTTCAGTAAAAGTACACGTTTCAAAGTTACTGTAGTTCTAAGTAGTCAACTTCCTGGTACTTTATATATTAAAATTAAAATTGTGACAAATGCCTGAAAAACATCAGATATTTCAGACAAGTTTCATAGTAACATTGTTCCTGATCAAGTTTGACAACCAGGGCCATCATTATTACGAGCAAGATCATTCAACATTTAACTATTTACAAACCGCATGCATGGCATGTTTTCATTTTGAATCTCCGATAAAAAAATGACAACAAATTTTAATTCTTTAAGTTTTCATGCTCAGCTAAAAAAAATTCTTCCTAGAAAAATATCCCTTGTCAAATCAGACAAGTGGTCAGTAATTATCAATTGTTCATGAAAAATTTTACTGGTACATGTACTGGACAAGTGGATGAGCATAAAATGTCGAGCCCAGGAACTATGCCCCATTTTTTGTTTATATTTGCCTTAGCAACCAACAGCATTAAATCTCGAACCCGAGCTATTATAATATGTAGCATAAAAGCACACGAGGATGATCAAGAGGGTGTTACAACGGTTTCTGTTTTGTTGTATTTGTTTCTGGCATTTGTTATTAACTGTTTCTGATGTGATGTGAATTCTTCATGGTATATATAGTGAAACTATATTTGTGATAAAAACATGATAAAAAAAATTATTAAAAAATGTTTTTCAAAAATGTAAATGATACTAGTAGTATAAAAACTCATTTTTAAGTATTTTAGAGTAGAATATAAACATTGAACCTAATGGGTCCTAGAAAAAACTTTGTGATATCCTACGATTCAAGATACTGAAGTTAAAATATGTACTTGTAGCATAGCATAAATTTTCCATCTTTAACACTCAGTTATACCTCGATAAATATTGCTAATGAGAGGAGGAGCGCAACTAATATTTCTATCTTCATGATAACACAAATCTAAATAAGTCAGTTATTTTTATAGCTAATTTAGCCTTCATTAAGTTCAACAAATTTCTTTAAATCTGTTCAGAATCAGACAAGTAAAAAATATTTATGCATTCAGACACAGGGTTTAACATTTATAAGGCATGTCTGATCGACACTGACTAGTAAAAGTTTGGTCCTGTCTAAAAATTGAGTGTACATCTGACATGTAAAATTAATATAACAAGTGTGCAGCATGTGTATTTTATTCATCTGCTCTCATGTACACACAGGATTCGATATACAGTCATGACTTTAATGATTTTAGGTTAAAATTAAAAACAAGTAATTGTAATTGGAAGTATTCTATCAATACTAATATGTCAAGTTTCATCCACCAGTATAATGCTACGACATTGACGAGAGAAAAACCATGCGTTTTCTACATGGGCATTTCTTCAATCAATTTGTTTATGTACCAGTATAAATTTATAAGAATCTTCTTGGGTTTTAATGTGATGGAGGAGGGTGCATTTAGTCATCAGGATGTTGTAACGCGGTCTTAAAACTCTTTAATAGCTTTGGGGCACAAACTACTTTTAAATTAGTTAAATAATCTAACTGCGTCTCCAGATGAGCCCTCACCACACCTCTCTTTAACCGGGTCTGAAAATTAATCATTTTAATGATTAGAAAATTCTATCTACAACTACTTCCTCTTCCAGATGACTCCAGTCTATTGCAGTGCAAACAAAAAATGAGTTTTATATTTTTTGGTTTTGGTGTTTGGTATCTCCACTGCTTTACTGTTGTTACAAAGATTACAGCAAGTTAAACTATGAATTAAATTGTTTATTTTATACATACATGTGTACCATGCATGTTCATGACTTGTTGGTTGTCAAATGTGTGGATATGTCATGCGAGGAACAGACATAACTGCGCAAGGTAAAATACCATGAGTCGTGAAGCGCGGGTCTGTGACATTCGGAATACAGAAGTATTTCTGCTGTTTGAGTAACCATACACCACTTTGTGTGCGGTGAGGCATGGATAAGTATGATTACTTCACATTGTGCTGAATAATTACCAATCAATTATCAAGTTTACCTGAACTGATCTTCTTTGTTAATCCATTCAAGAAGTAACTGTTTGGTCACAAATTAACTGAGCGTTGTATATAGCCCTAAAACTTTTA